CCTCCCCCTCCCCCGCCAAATTTCGCCCGTTTTAAGCCCCCCTCCCCCCCCCTTTTCCCTTCCTCCTCCCCCCCACCCCCCCCCCCCCCGCACACAACCCACCCACCCACCATGTCGTACCCCTCCGTGTCGGCCCCCCTCGTGCGAACCAACACCATGGAGTCCGGCGTCGACCCGGACGAGGGCGTGCAGTCCAAGCAGGACCTGCCCAAGCTGGTCCGCGGCGCCAACGTGTCCTACAGCCCGGACGAGAGCAAGATATCCTCCCCGCGCTTCTCGCGCTTCTCCAAGATCATCTTCTCGCGCCCGAGCCAGCCGCTGCTGCCGGCCCACATCGCCGACTGGACCCACGTCGGCTCCTTCCCCTCCCCGCTCCTCAACAACCCCGCCCAGAGCAACCTCGGCATGTACTTCGTCGGCCCCAACGAGACCATCCTCGTCGACGTCATCTCCGACTCCGAGAACACCACCATGTCCCGCGAGTTCTTCCGCGCAGGCCCCAGGAGGGAGCTCGCCTTCCACCCCCAGAACCAGGTCAACGCCTGCATCGTCACGTGCGGCGGCTTGTGTCCCGGCCTCAATTCCGTCGTTAGAGAGCTCGTCATCACCTTGGAGCAGATTTACAACACCCGCAATATCTCCGGAATTCCCTTTGGCTACCGCGGCTTTTACTCCACCCATCTGGAAATCACCCGCCTCGATTCGCATAAGGTCCAAAACATCCATCATGAGGGCGGCTCCATTCTAGGCAGCTCGCGCGGCGGCCATGATACTCAGCGCATTTGCGATGCTATTATCGCCATGGGCTTTAATCAGATTTATATCATCGGCGGCGACGGTACCCATCGCGGCGCCATCAAGATCTTTGAGGAACTCAAGCGCAGGGAGTATATGGCCGCCGTTGTCGGAGTCCCCAAGACTATTGATAACGACATCGCCCTTATTGATAAGAGTTTCGGCTTTGACACGGCCGTCGAGGAGGCCCAGCGCTCCATCAAGTGCGCAAAGATCGAGGCAAAGTCTGCCATCAACGGCATTGGCCTTGTTAAGCTCATGGGCCGTCATTCGGGCCAGATCGCCATGTTTGCAACACTCGCGAGTCGCGACGTCGATTGCTGTCTCATCCCAGAGGTCAAGTTTGAACTAGACGGCAAACACGGCCTCTTCCAGTACATTGAAGAGAAGCTCAAGACGAAGAAGCACATGGTTATCGTCGTTGCGGAAGGCGCTGGTGCCGACAATATGGACCGCGAGATGGGCGTCAAAGGCTACGATCAGTCGGGAAACAAGAAGCTCAACGATGTCGGCCTCTGGCTCAAGTCTAAGATCTGTATCGAATTCAAGAAGCGCAACCGCGAGATCAACCTCAAGCTTATTGATCCCACCTATGAGATTCGCTCCGTCCCCGCCAATGCGTCGGACAACTTGCATTGCAGCTTGCTGGCCCAGTCGGCTGTGCATGGGGCTATGCATGGCTTCTCCGGCTTCTGCGTCGGGTTGATCAATACGCATTTTGTCCTCATCCCAATAGTGGAAATTTGTAGACGAGGAAGAACAACAGGTAAGGGCATTTGATACTCATGGGCAAAAGGAGCGGCCAGAAACCCATTCTCTTGATGCGATACTAACTCATTCGTTTTTCCTATTGTGATTTCACCGCCATTAACAGTGGATGTAAGAAGCAGGATGTGGCATCGAGTGATCGCCACCACGCAGCAGCCGAGTCTTTCCGCCCAACGTAACAACCCTCCGCCCTCATCGCCACCTATAAAAACTCTCGTTGCGGTTGGTGAAAATTGCTTCCCGACTGAGAAAGAGCTCTCCCTAGTACAAGAACCAACTGTTGTCGAGCCCGTCGAAGAGAACGGAAAAACTAATGGAACCCTCTGAAGACACCACGGCACGCAGCATTGCGACACCGTTGCACTGCAGCATTAGCAAAACAAGCGTGTCAGGTCTTTTCAGCTAGTGTGGATCGTCCTTCAAGGTACGGGAGGGCAAGGAGCTGAGCTGAGAAGGTCCATGCGGTCCATGCGGTACCTGAAAGAAATATCGGACGGAGTATCCTACTTCAGCTCATGTGAATTTCCCTTCTGTCTCTCATGATGTCGCGTACAGGGCATTTGATTTTGGTTGGAAGGCATAGTTGTAAAGGTATGACGCGACCGGTCAAGGGGTGTAGTTTGGACAGTGCCGTTTGTAGTCGCGCGCTGTGATGCCGTTAGTTCATTTTGTAATACTATAGTAAGACAAGGACGGAGTACTTCCGTGTATACTAAAGATTGCGAGCAGGTTTGTTCGTTGGTAGACGCGATTTCGGAGCAACAAGAAAAGGAAGAAAGATTCCCTACGTTTCCAAAGACCTCTTCGCAGAAAGTTAGGAAGAGAGCACAGTGCTGCTAGCTGGGCTTCTGTGCCATTTTTGTAAAAATATTCCAACGTGGATACACGATGGTGGAGAGGTTGACTTTCTGCCTCACTCCCTGTCTTATCCGTGTCCCCTCCGATCGGTTTCGGGTTTACAGGTGAAGTGAGCCATGAGGCTTGTCGTGCAGAAAGTCTCACAGGCCGCCGTGACATCAGTAGCGGAGGGAGCAGCCGCAGAAACGGCTGAAATAGGGCGCGGCTTTTGTGCGTTGGTCGGTTTTGAGAAGGACGACACGATAAGCGACTGCCAGTCCATGTCGAGTCAGCTGCTGAAACTGCGCATTTTCCCCGAGGCGCCGTCAGAGACAGGACCCGGACGCGTGTATGCGGCAAACTTGGGCGATGTTCAGCAAGACCTTCTGCTCGTGTCGCAGTTCACTCTCAACGCGACCCTGAAGAGTGGCCGACCGAGCTTTCACCGCGCAATGGGCCCAACCAATGCTGGGCCCCTGTTTGAAGAGTTCATTAAGCTCTGTCGGGAAGGCTTGCGTGAGCGGGGCTGCGAGGTGAAGAGTGGCATTTTTGGTTCGTACATGCAACTGCATCTTGTTAATGATGGGCCGTTTACCATCTGTTTGACCTGTAAAGACGGAAAGTGTTCTACATGGTGATTCTGATGACCGTGTTGGATCAGTGTTTATTTCCAAAAAGCATGAACAAGCAACCTCAAAAATGATTTGATTAACTTTAGTCTGTAGTTGACATTAGAGTTGCTGTCGCCGCATACTGAGCTAGTAAGAACGTGTGCTATCGCCGCAAGTAGGAATGACAACTGGGATTCTGAGCTTAAACAGGCCTGTCGGCATTTCAGCTCACAAGCCCGTGCACTTCAACACGACGACATCACATTTTGATCTATTGCCGTCACAAACGCCGCAGCTGTGACATATCGCTTTCCATGTGAGCAGACTAGGTCGAGATTAAATTAGCCCTCGATATATCGCCTTCTGTTGCGTTCATGCTACAGAATACGCCCAGGGGAATTGCTCCAGATTTTTCAAACTAAAGCAAGACGTTTGTGAAGTAGCATAATACAGACCGGACCTTGAAGGAAGACGCAGAACGACTCCGACGCATTTGTCCATACTGAACCTGTAAAATCACTTGCTGCGAAAACAAAAAGTACTGTAGCTAATTGAAAAAATATATGCGGGCAAAAAAATAAGGGTCAGGTCAACGCTAATCGGCACTCATATGCCGTTTTGGGATATTCTCCTCATCAGCAGTTCTGCTACTACCCAGATCCTCCTTTTCAGAACCGTCCATCTCACAACGATCTACCGGGTATCTCCCTCTCTACAATCGCTCTCTTTCCTTTTGGAAGAAAGCGACTGTACTATCCCGGATTTCTTGTGAAAGAAAAAAAAATGGCGGAAGATTCAAGCCATCGCGAACGAGCCAAAGCCTTAATTGGTAAGAACCGCGAAGAAGCCCGCAAACTCTTTGGGCGACAAGGTTCCAAGGTGCTTCAATTCCCTGTTGAATGCTCAGAGAAGCTCGCCGTTGATTTGGGGCTCAAGCCGCTGTACATGAGAAGCAATCTAAAAAGTCGTAAACGGCCAAGAGTCTCCGCTGAAACGGCAGAAGAGAAACTAGTGAATGGGGCAGCTAATCAAATGAAAGCCACGATTGCGAGCAAGGAAGCCTCCACAGCTCCGGTAATTGCCAAGCCAACGACAGGTCGTAGTGAGAACGATTTGCTAGCAGCGGACAAAGCCGAGAACACGGGTCGCGAAACTGTTTCCCTCCCTGCAGCTGCTGTCGGTGAGAGCAACGGCTCCCTTGCGCTTGTTCCAAGAAAGGAATCTGCAGAGGGCGCGCTAACAGGCCTCACTACTGGCGACAAGCAGCTTGCGCTTGCCATCGCAAGGGACCGTCCAACATGGCACCCTCCCTGGAAGATGTTCCGCGGGATCAGCGGTCACCTCGGCTGGGTTCGTTCTGTTGCAGTAGACACGACCAACGAATGGTTCGCCACTGGGTCCGCTGACCGCACGGTAAAAATCTGGGACCTCGCCTCTGGGCGCCTCAAGCTAACGCTGACCGGGCACATCTCCGCGGTGCGTGGAATCGCCATATCCCCTCGCCATCCGTACATGTTCACGGTTGGCGAAGACAAAACGGTCAAATGCTGGGATCTGGAGCAAAACAAAGTCATCCGCAACTATCACGGTCATTTGTCGGGTGTTTACTGCGTATCTCTACATCCAACACTCGATGTCCTAATGACGGGCGGGCGCGACTCGACTGTGCGTGTGTGGGACGTGCGCACGCGGGCGCAGGTGTTCGTGCTGGCGGGCCACCGCGATACTGTGAACGCCGTCGTGACGCAGGGCGTCGACCCGCAAGTCATCTCCGCCTCCGTCGACAGCACTATCCGCACGTGGGATCTCGCCGCCGGAAAATGTTCCGCTACACTAACTAATCACAAAAAAGGGGTGCGGGCACTCGTGCGGCACCCCCGCGAGTTTTCGTTCGCATCCGCGTCAGCCGATAACATCAAGACATGGGCGCTGCCCGACGGGACGTTTGTGCGCAACCTGAGCGGGGGGCATGACAAGCTGGTCAACGCAATCGCCGTCAACGAGGACGGCGTGGTCGTTAGCGGCGGGGACGACGGGAGCATGTGCTTCTGGGATTACAACTCAGCACACCGATTTCAAAGGGAGCAGACAGTCGTGCAGCCGGGAAGCTTGGACTGCGAGGCGGGGGTGTTCGCGATGGCGTTCGACCAGAGCGGGAGCAGATTGATTACCTGCGAGGCGGATAAAACAATCAAGATGTGGAAGGAAGACACGGAGGCGACAGAAGAAACACACCCGCTCAACTGGAAGCCCGACTTGCAGCCGAAGCGATACTAGGTGAAAGCAACCGACGCTTTACTTGAGCGTTGGGGCAAGCGTCTCGGGCAGGCGCTCCACTTTGTACTTGTGCCCCGAGATATACATAATCGGCACACCAGGGACCTTTCGAATGCGTCTCTTTAGGTCGCGATCGCACGTGGCGACAATAAACACGCGATGTGCCGCGACGCGGTTTACCAAACAGTCATCGGCATACGTCCCTTTGTGCGTACACACGAGCCGCCTAAACCTGCGATCCCTCGCTACTCTGAGCGCGACGGCGTACTTCTTCGGCAGCTTTTGCAGCTCAGCAATAACGCAATCCGTGACGCAAACGGTAGTCGGGGCAGCGAGACAGTCGAGCATGGAGCGGGCGATGTCGAGCTTGTTCGCGACGGAGAAGTTGACAAAGTTGGTATCGATGAGGACGCGGAAGGGGGGCCCGAGAGAGGGGTTGAACTGGAAGAACATGGAGGCCGGGTTGGGGTTGCGGGCCAGCTTGGCCTTGTCAGACTCCTTGTTGACGATGGGCGCCGCAGCAGCTTTGGAGAGCGCTTTCATTTGTAACCGGGAGTCCGTGGGGGAGACTAGGCGCTTAACCTCTGCGAACTTGCGTGTCCGCTTGGCGCGTCCCATCGTTGCAAGGCAGGCAAGTAGACTGGAGGGTTAGATAAGCGCGATAGCGGTTGTGAAGAGAGCGGTGCGAGAAGGCGTCTCCAAGATATGGAGCAGCGACGAGAGGAACGGCGGCGGGGAAGACCACGCATGGAGTGCTACAATATCACACGTGTCGTACGTCGAAGTAACGGCCGGAAGGCTCTGACGTTGATTTTCATATACCGTAAAATGTCACAAATCGCCTTTTTTCGGCATCATGCGATCAAAACTTGCTTTCCGTGGCCTTCGTCACTGCGGTGCGCACCGTGGTGCCCCGTTTCCATTAGCACATGCACCCACTCAACAAGTGCTCCTGACACACACAGAGCATAGCGCTGCGTACAGAGAGGCAGGCGGTAAAGTCGAGAGAAAAGAATCAAGGAAAGGGACATGTTTATTGAAATTGACGTGTGAACATTGTTGACAAACTGTTACGGGGCGAAGGGAAGGGAGAGCATGTGAAAGCCCATGCGGCGGAACGGATCAGGCTCAACGCTTTTCTCCCTACATTTCGGCTAGACGTACCGCTACTTCCACTTCTTTCAATCTGAAACAGGGCGTTCCGTCTAGTTTCATAAAAGCATTCCGTTTCTATCGACTTCGTTTGAAAGAAGGCCGCATCTGCATTTTGCAGACCCCTTGCACAGCACTTCAAGGCTCATTAGCTGCCAGTCCTTTCTCGGTCCAATATCATGTCGAACTCGCATGCCAACAGACATGCGGCCCGCTTGTAAATGATTGCAGCAGGCGCCAATGGTAGTATGCACAGCATCGAGGAGGTCATCAAGTGGGCGGAGGCCGGTCCGTACAACAGGGCCGTCCTTTTTTGACTCAGTTGTCGCGCACGCGATGCTGGACGCGGCTGCATGAACACAGCAAGTATCAGCTCAATAACGATCTGAAGTATCGCTGACCACTTCGTCTTCTTGTTCCGGACCAATATCGCAGCCTTGATCAGTCCCATCTCACGCTCTTACGCTCTAGACAATTGTGCCGCCCACTGGCACCCTCCTTGTCTTGATCACCAGGCATCAGCGTTGTCATCCCAAGCACCCCGCACCCCTTCCTCCGCACCACTGTCGCTTTCCCATTTTTCTGCAGCCTTTCCTCTGCCTTCTGTTTTAGGTACTCACTATCTCCCCTAGATGGGGTATCTCTGTGTGCATGCTCGAAGTTGTCTATGTGAGAAATGTTCCTGAAAAGATCGAATCTCACGGTGCATCCTTCAAGCATGTAAATACATGAGGCTGCTCCACCCGCCGAACGCATTCTGTTAAACCACGTCCTTCTGCATCCAGGAAGTCCTCTAGTATCATATCAGCGCTCGGATGTTCACTTTCTCTAGCTTCGTTGTACAGCCTTAATGCTTCCGAGGCATCCCTTTCTATTCCTTCCTCTCCAACACTGACCAGATTAGCTAGCTCCACCTTCGCGAAACTGCTGTTCGTTTCGTCAATAACTCTGCGAAGAAGATCCGCACCCCTCTTAGCATCCTTCTCCACGCCATCCGAGCCATTAACTAAAACCAAAGCAATCGCCACCATGGCATCGTGCTTCCTCGGTAAGTCCACCCGTTCAACTATTTCTAAGGCAATAGACACGTCCGATTCGAACTTGTTCGTGCCATGCAAAAACACATCGACAAGAATGATGAAAGTCTCCGTACCACCGTCATCCACAGCACACTGCAAGACTTTCATAGCTTGAGCAACATCTTGTTCTACGCCTTCAGCTCCATGATAAAGCAGTCCTGCCAAACAGAATGCTGCTATAACTTTTCTTCCTACTATTGTGCCAGGAGGCAAACCCCGTTCCCCAATCACATCTTGCTCCGCACTTGATTCTCCATCTGCAGACAAGAAAACGGGGCCACTTTCCACGCCTTCACTAATGGAGAGTGCATATAATTCTACCGCTCGTGCAGTGTCTCGCTCCAAACCGTCGCCCCCCTGTGACAACAGATAAGCAAGGCTATTCAATGCGTTCAAATTCCCCAAACTAATCGCCCGCTGAAACAACGCTGCAGCTCGCGCAATGTCCGGCTCCAAATCCTCACCCCCGTCCATCAGCAAGTGCCCGAGCGTACACAGCACATCCAAGTCTCCTTGTTCGATAGAAATCTCATACAAAGCGGCGGCTCGTACAACATCCGGCTCCAAGCCTTTCCCGCCATGCCTTAACAAGTCTGCGAGATCAGCTCTTGCATCCGAAAACCCCTTCTCAATAGCTCTCTCGTACAGTTCTGCAGCTCGAGCTGCATCCTCTTCCAAACCGTCACGCCCACTACCCAGCAGCTTAGCAAAATTGTACAATGCGGGTACACAACCCCCATCTATAGCTCTCTCATACATGGCAAACGCTTTCGGTAAATTTAGTTCCACCCCTTCCGTTTCCGACGACAACATAACAGCGAGATTGTTCATCGCAGAAGCATCCCCAGCTTCGATGCCACTTTCCAACAGTTTTATCGATTGGGGGATGTCCTGCTCCACACCTTCCCCACCGTTTTCAAGTAGACATGCCAAACCCCGCATAGCCATAATGTTACCTCCCTCAATGGCTTTCTTGTACAGGTCTACCGCTCGTGGCGCATTCGGCTTCATGCCTGCCGTCCCAAACTGCATGAGATCAGCAAATCCCTTTGCTGCATTCGCATCGCCAGCATCGACAGCACGTTGATATAAATCCACTGCACGCTCAGGGTCCGGCTCCACACCTCTGTCCCCAGACGTGAGCAGTCCAGCGAGATTCGCAAGTGCGTACACGTTACCGTCCTCGATGGCCCTCTCGTACAATTGCACTGCTCGTGCCCCATCCTGGTCTAACCCCTGCACACCTTCTGTAAGAATACCAGCGTAAACATTCATCACTGCTGCACTGCCTTCCTCGACAGCGCGCTCCAATAATTCCACAGCTCTCTTCAGATCACGCGGTACACCTTCTGCTCCATATACGAGAATGAGACCAAGGTTATTCATGGCTACCGTGCTTCCCTCAGCGACAGCACGTTCATACAACTCGGTAGCTCGCGCAACATCTCTCACCATCCCCTCTCCGTCACTTTCTAGAGTGCAAGCAAAGGAGACCATAGCTTCTACATCCCCATTCTCAACGCCATACTCATATATATCCACAGCCCTCGCAATATCCTTTTCGATGCCATGCGCTCCCTGCTGTAGTAGGTAGGCGTATCTGCTTGTCGCACTCACGTACCCACCAAAGATCGCTCGTTCATACAGCTCGCATGCCATCTCAACATTCACCGTGACCCCGTCGGCACCCAGCAGTAATTCTGCCAGACGGCACATGGCTTCTTGACTGTCAGAATCTTCGAGGCACCTTTCATCAGTTGCTTCGATATATTTCTCGTACAGTTCGGCGGCCCGCTTCTTGTTTGGTCTAACCCCATAGTCTCCGTAGTCCAGCAGTTGTGCCAACTCGCGCATTGGCAAATATTCGCCGTGCCTAATAGCCTTCCTGAACAGGTGCATAGCACGTCGGGGATTTCTTTGCACGGCGTTATCGCCATACGCAACCAGCAGGATCCCCAGAAGGTACATAGCCGGGGCGTAGTTCTTTGCCGCGGCTTTTTCGAAGAGCTTGCAAGCTGTCGGAACATCTTTCTCGAAATCGGCCGTTCCTAGCGTCAGGAAGATGCCAAGCATGTACATCCCCTCAGGGCTTCCCTTCGAGGCCGCTCTTGAAAAGCAATCAAGAGGACCTGAAACGTCTTGACTAAAGTTATCAGGTCTTTTTTGCATGAAACGTCCCAAGCTGACCAACGCATCTACATGGCCGTCACACTCGATAGCCCTTCGGTACCAATACTCTTCATCGTCATCTCCATGGTCATTGTCTATGTGACCTTCGCAGAGAAGACCAAGCCTGTACATAGCTCCTGTGTGCGAGCCCTTCTGTACAGCGGCCAGAAACAGTGTCCTCGCAACGTCGAAATTTTCGAGAACACCAATGCCATGCATGAAGGCATCGCCGAGTTCATAGCATGCGGTGGCGTTGCCCGCATGGGCGAGAAGGATGTTGTAACCCAGACGCAACTGCGAGTGTAGCACAGGAAGTAGAGAAAAAGGCGGGATGGCAAACAGAGTGCATAAACCGAAGCACATAGTGAGGCTGGAGCCGGCTTGCTTGCGGTATGGTTGAGCTGAGATGATGTACTCATACCGCTTTGTTGTCAGCTGGGTGAGGAAAGCGGAGGCGTATCCCGACGACCTCCTATTTATTATGGTAACCTCTAGTCGACGGAATTCCCGCGAGGCGGGGACGGTTGTCACAAGGGGATGGAATATTGCGCATGTACTCAGGATCTGAAAGTGTTGGCGAAATATATTATTGGTGGCTCTGTCGTTTATATTTAGAGGCGAGGCTCTTTGCGCAAATGGTTGGCGGCTTTTTAGAAGCATACGGATGTGAACTTGCAACAAAAAAAAGGTAAGGTCTTTGAAAGGGTCTGCGCTGAGTTTTTTCGTTCCTCACGCGCAGGTCATGTCTCGCGAAATTTTGGTAGAAGCGATTGAACGATCGGGTTGTTCCTCGACTCTCAACACTCGCTACCTCTATCATTTCCTTTTGTGAAGCGTATATGCAGGTGTTGTGTTTCAAAATCGAAGCTCATAGCCAAGGATCGCTTTGAATGTGTCAAGCGAATGAGCAATGAGGCCATGTGCAATGGTTAAATTGGCGTCTGCTGTTCTCTTCAGCCATGTCAGAATGATTTGAGAAAGGCGTATTTACAGTCGGGAGCACGAGATCCGTCGCAGAAGCCTTATTTACAGTTGGCAAAACGAGATCCGTCCACTCTCCGGTGCGCCGTAAGTGAGAATAAAAAGCTTTACGGATAAAATCCAATGGCCGCTCTCCTGCCTCTGAAATTGATGTTTTTCCACCGCACATGATTGATTTGATTGATACCCATGTGTGTCACCAGAAGGGGACACTGCGGCTTTCGGCGAGACTGGCCAGGCTTGACGACACAGCAATGCGTCTGCTTGGTTTTCTGTGGTTGCCATAGACCGACCAATCAATGGTGTTGGCGTGGCGAATATCTCTTTATCGGAATCGATCACGATGCTTAACAGGTCAATTTTTCCAATTACAGTCACACTCAATTGTGGCATTGAAAAAACAAAGTTTGCTTGCGAAAGCGTCTCTCGGTAGAGATGCTTTTGAGTGTGTAGAGAGGCTCATTTTGCGCCATATGATGAAGCCAGCTTTTTTTGGGCGCAAAATATTTATTTCTCAATGACAATATATACACTTGTACAGTACTGTGTTTCGGCATTCTTTAAACGGCATTCGTTAAGCACTATTTAAATGATATGTTCTTCCGAAGTCATCAAAGAAAGAACGTTTCAAGAAGGCCCAAAGCGGCGTCTTTGCCCATTTTCCTAAAGCTGACCGGAGAAGACAGAAGATCTCACTGTCATGTCGCTTGTCTCTACGCAAAAATCAATTCCATCGTTTTGCGTACGCTCCCAAATTCTGGCGGAGCGACTTCAAACCCAGAAAAAAGAAGCTTAATAGCCTCGCATGGATGATGCCACATGGAACTTCTCTGAGCACAGCAAGACGACATTTACTCTCTGGCCAAGGGTTTCCATTTTCTCGGCATCCAGGGCTACAATTTGCGTTCTGTCATCTCCCTTTTAGAGGTGACATAGGACTTCATTCATGAAGTCATTCCCGACCATCTTGTTCATTTGCCTTTTGGAAGCTTTTCATCATTTCGCGGTTCACTGGTCCTTCGCTTCTCAATGCTTTCCAGTGTCATACATTTAAATGTGGGAAAAGTTAATAAACATGGATTCGTGGGATTTTCATAGTCCTACTTCAAGCTATCGAAAAGACAGATATGGCCGCTGTCATAATTGATACTACTGTACTAATCAAAATAGAACCTGCACATGCGGGAGTTAAAAAACGATTTCTCGGGTATTCTCCACTTTAAACGCTTAGACAGATGCACGTTAGCTCTAACGCTTCAGATAAAAATTCCACCACATCTGCCCTCTTCTAAAGATCCTTCTTTCGGACCTTCTCTGAAAAAAATGGGCGCCGTCGAGGATTACTCCGTCGTACTGTCGACTGAACTGAGTGCCCTCAACGTTCTCATCTGTCAGGCAAATCCATCAAATCTGCCTTCTCTTAATCACATCAGCTCATGAGCCCACGTTACTTCGAAACAAAAATGACTGCACGACATCTGGATACAGGGCAGCCTCTCGGGAAAGCATTTCGAAAGGTTTGGGAGAGGCTTCAAACGCTGCATATCGACTTAAAATGAACGTTCCACTCCAGCCATCGGTCTAAAATATAAAAAACATAGTAGCCTATTTTAATAGGTTATTATGTTTTTATTGTTATTTAAACATAGAGATATGCCCGTCTTTTCTACAATGCTTTGTGAATCAATCGAATTTGATGTAGACAAGGAGCGGGGTCTTCTGTCAGCTTTTACTTGCAACTCCAGCGCCCTTCTCCATATTCTATTCGACACAAACAAAACAACGCTGAAGGAGAAAATCCCCTGTCACCTGTATGCAATATAGTGCGAGTTTTACAAAGAAGCCTCCAAAAGGCACAGTTTGTTCTCTTTTTTGCGATACATACCCCTAATTTTCGAGAGCGACCAGAGCAATCTACTCTACACAGAAGAGGAATTGAAACTTTAATAATGACGTTTTCACGAGCTCACAAAACAAAGGGATTAAACATCGGTGCAAATGAAGATTGTGTGAACAGAATATATTCAGAAGTTTGCACCAGAAGCCTTTTCAAAATATTTCTGGCAAAGCTCTTAGGTGAGAGAAAATTCTCAAGTGTTGCAGAAGAGTACATAGGGTACCAGCCTTCTTGCAGAAATAATATGATGTTTTGGATATCATCAATCGCAGGACCATTCTGACCGAAGGCTAGGGCTGGGCTATTCAGTGGTCTGTTGAGGTCGTCGATAATTTTGAGGCTTGAGTTTCGAAAATGTACGATTGGGAAGTCACTGGTGCTATAGTCTATCGGACTGTTAGTCATCGTAATATGATCGAAAATATAACAACTTTTGTCCTCATATTATGAGGACGAAGGTTATTTATTTTTTCTAGACAACCAAAGCGCAATCTCACTTCTTTTTTTTTGAAACCAGAAGGCTATCACTACAGGTAAAGCAGTCTCTTTTCGATTCTAGCGAAAACCAACTCGTTGATGCATATAAAGGTGTTCAAAAGAAAAGGCCGGCTTACAGTAAACATTTTTATTTAAGCTAATTTTATTCCAGTCGAATAGAAACATTGCGTTAAGGGCTTTCTATTCGGTTCGAAGTTTAGAAAAAATATAAAACGAGTCATCCTACCAAAGAAAAATAGAACCGTGGCCATCAAAGTTGAAAAGAATAAAATTCGCATATTTTTATGTTATGATAACGCTTGGTCAGATAGACGCTGGGGCTTAGCTGACTAGAGCTGGGGCGGCTCGAAGCAAGCAGAACTGGTATTCAAGATAGATGTCAGTGACGTCTCGGATGCTTCACGTGCGGCTATCTGCAATTTTTATTCATGATAGGAACCTTTAGCCTTCAACTGCCATAGACATGTTTTGGATTCATACAGTTTTGCGTCTACGAGAAACGGGTCGTTACTGCACATCCCGATTCCTTGGCCAACACAGAGAATTGTATCGCCGGCGCTGTGCTAAGCAATGTGATACAAGATGGAAGATAGAGCCGCCAGGCGGCTCAAACATCCCGACAGCTTCAATTTTGTTCATCCGCCCCACCCCTTCCTCAGAGTTATCCTCCCCGATGAGCGAGGAATGGCTCACAGATGAGCAGACCCTATGAAAAGCTATTTAAAGCAGCTTCGAGAGTCAATGAATGTCCAGCTATGAGTTGGGAAGTCGCCGTAAATCGATGTCCTGTATCGAGTCAGCGAATGTGCGAACTATTGATGTAATCCGCTCGGATAGCCCAGTCTACACATTGCGCGCATTGCGCCCCTAAGTTCGACGAACTACTTCTTTTCATTTTCGTTGTCTGTTCCATGTGAATGACATCTGGAGGTAATGAACATAGTTTTATGTATCATTTAAACCATCTCTATAAGTTGTGCAGTTGCGGAAACTGCGGCCAAGCTATTCACATCTAGAGCAGCGATTCTTATATGATTTCTCGAAAGAGGACCGACCCGCCCTCATTTAGTATGGACGCGGAAACATTGAATGAGATCCAGCCAATGGTAGGTTATCGTATCCAGCATTAAACTGTTTTTTGAACTGAATGGTGTCATGATTCCCATGTAAACCTGTCACACGCACACACACGCCAGGGGTCCACCCCAGAGACGG